GGTACCCATGGGTTGTTGTGGTAAAAAATTTATAATGACAAGTTCCTATCAAAATAAAAGTCAAACATCAATTTCTCCATATAAATTATCCATGCAAAAAACACGAGTCTAGAAAATTCAAACAAATCATAAATTATCCATATAAATTGTAAATTAGATTGGGAAAATTAGAATTAGGGTAGGATTTGGAGAGAGTAAGCAACGAAATAAGTAAGGGCGGCTACCCATGGGTCGGGTATCCCTAAACCCAAACCCAACCCGATGAAAGTGTAACGAGTTTAAACCCAAACACGGTCCGAAACCCGTCAACACGGGTTTTACCCCCGTTGACCGGGTTGGGTCAGGTAGGGTACCCGTGGGTTCGAGTTTTGTTGCCATCCCTACTATGATATTTTGAGATAGATATTAGTAGTAGTGATTCTCTATAGTAGAGATACCACTATTAGTGATTTTGACGATTTGTGTAGTGATTTATAGAAATACTAGTTATTTATAAATAAATCTCTACTATAGGTGATACGAATCAATACTAAAAAAAATGTAAAATAACTATTACAAAGTGAGAAATCAATATTGTTTATGCGAAAATGACAATCGGATAGCATATACATGCAATTAATTAGTACCAAAGATCTCTATGTGAAATATATACTACACAAATACAAAATCAGTACATATTAATCTCCTACACTGCACAAGCCGCCTCCTTATGATTTTAGGAACCAGCGCTGCACAAAAAAAAAACTAAAAACAAAATCACTACCATTTCCAGCGTTTAAAACATTTCTAGCTCATTAAAATTGCTACTGACATAAAAAGAACACATCAAAAAGAGTCTGACTGTATTAGTTCACACATAAGCAATACTATATACTATTGGTAAAAGAACTCCCACAGTATATTAAACTGCCAAGAAATCAAGTAAAAAAGCAAGAGCTCCTAAATCAATGTAAAACACTACTGAATTCAGAAAACATTACTAGGTTTAATAAAATTGCCACGACATCAGAAATAAGTAAGATCATACATTAAGGTCATACATTACAATTTCCCTGAAAACACTACTAAACTTCACAAAAATGTTCCTACAACAAACCAATCAAGGAGAAAACAATAACTCAAACAAGTGACGGTAGGAACTACTACCTCTACAAAAGTTGAGAAACACTACTAACCTTGAGAAATACTACTACAAAGTACAAACAAAGTAATTGCTACAGATGAAAGCATCAAAAGTGTAAAGGAAAAGATAAACTACAAGTTTTGGATATGAAAATCCTTACTACGTTGTAGAAAAGTGCTACCACTCTTGCTATTCCGAGCAAACAATAGACAGGAAAAAGTTACATTTCATAAATTCAAAAGCGACGCGAAGTCCTCCATATCAGAGTACACGTACATAGCAGGAAGCAAGATTATATACTCCAAAATTCAATAAAAACAATACTGATTAGAAGAAACACTACTATGTTCTATGTAAATGATATGACAGTACTGCCTTCACAAACAATGAAAATCGCTACTAATCTTGAGAATAACTATGAGCAAACAAGAGCAAGAAACGAGACGGATTTTGAAATCCAAAAACCGATCCAAAAGGCCCTCTATAACAGAGCACACATAGCAACTACCATCTTTCGTCAAAAAAAAAAAAGCAACTACCATCACCAACCAAGACCACCAACGAACAGATCGAGATCGTCAAAGGAATCAAAGGAAGTTATATGTATACATAGACAAGCAAAGAAATCATAGCGCAGCGAATCCAACTGCAGCGGAGGCACAAACGAAATAGGGGGTGGCGAAGTCAAGGGAGACGACGGCAAGAGCGGCGATGGTGGCGATCGCAACGACGACAAGGCCGGTGATTGTCCAGATGGATTGGTTGGAGATTGAAAGAGAGAGAGGATCTGGGAGAAAATGGGGGAAAAGAAATAGACTGAAAGGAAGGATCAGTTGTTGGATTTATTCCCAAAACTCCTACACACTTATTTCCGAGGCTGGGATCACATGTGTTCTTACCAAAAATACCCATACTCACATAATCCCACTTGGATTGACAGAAACATAGGGAGATGAATGGGGTTAATACGGTGCTAACCTAATAGTTGGTTATCAAGCCATCTCATCCCCACGAAAAAGTATCTTGCAGAAAAAATTTAATTTTCACCAATATCTCATGAATTGTGGAAAGTAGCAATGAACTGAATTCTAATGAATTGTAAATTATAGTATAGTATCAATATGTTTCTATGGGCCACCTACAATATCAATACGTTCTTTTATGAAGCATATATTATATATTGCAAGGAATCATTCACTTTAGATGTACGTCATTTGAGTTTCACAAGTTAGACATCTAAATTTCACAATTTATGCGTGTACTTGACCATTTTCCCTCCATCTAAAGCATGTTGTTCATTTTCTTTTGTTATTGACACAAACAGTCACATATTTTTGAGTTACTAACAAAATGGTCACTTATATTTTTTTTACAAAGGAGTGATTTCATTTTGCACTACTAACTAACAAAATGACCATTCCATTAATTTCCATTCATATGCCAATCTATTGCGTCCTAATCAACATGTCACACTCACATCTGTTGATAACAAAATGATCATTATTCCATTAGTTTCCATTCAAATATAGTCACATATATCTGTGGGTTACTAACAAAAATGACCATTCCATTAGTTTAACATATATATTCACCACCTTTCTTTCTCGTGGTAAGCTTCCCTTCTCCTTGTTGTCGCCCGGTCACTATCTAATCGGAAACTTGCAGAGGGCTGCGTCGTGGTTGCATGCTAGATGCTACATGCAAGGGTGCCGAGAAGGCGGCTTAGTGTCATGGAACCTCGTCGGGGGAGAATGTATCTCGTATAATTTTATCTAGTACAGGTCAAATTTGTCTCAAAACAATAAGAAGCGGTAATGATGGAGAATTTATCTCGGATAATTTTAGTAAACTTTCGGATGAAAAAGAAATTAATCACACGTTAATTTTCTGATTCACGAACTCCTCTCGCGGGATGGAGTTGTGGGACAATCATTGAAACTGCTTCGCGAACGCTATGCTATTAGAATACAATCGAGCTAAGCATTTGTTTGGGCGGGAATGGTTAATTAGTACGACTTGTTACGTAATTAATTGGTATGATTATGATATGAAAGCGTTACACTGAAAATTACCATATAGTATGATGTGTTACCACGACGGTGGGGTGATGCAGATTAGGGTTTTTCTCGTCGGAGGTTCCTATATTCCTTTTTGGAATAGGAAATTTGCAACGGAAGGAACCGATCTTCTCTATATATATGTCTACTCTTGTAGAGTTGTAGCTTATCACCATGGCCGAGGAGCCTCCGCCTCAGCGCGACTGGACGCACCTGCCCGGCTTGCTTCTCGGCGGCATCATGCGCCGGTCAGTCAAACTACCGGACTTCATCCGCTTCCAAGCCGTCTGCAAGCCGTGGAGACAAGCCCTCCTTCTCAGCCAGCCGGCCGAACTACAAAACCCGCACAAGTTCCGCCAGTCCCTGCCGTGGCTGATCTTGCCGTGCGATAAACCTGGCACGGCCGACTGCCGCGGCCACGACTGCCACCACTTCGTCGACGTGGCGGCGGAAGGCAACAACAACAAGTGCCGCCGCCGCCTACACGTCGATTTAGGCAGAGGCCAGTACACGTACCCGCAGTGTCTCGGCTCGGCTTTCGGGTGGCTGCTCATACAAGAGCAGTGGTGCCCGCACCCGCTTGTTCTCTACCTGTTGAACCCCTTGACTCGAGCCAAGATCCGCCTCACCAACAAAATCCGCCATGGTGGCGGCGACTTCAGGTAGCCAATGCAGTCATAAATCGTGATCCTACCTATAATAGCATCCACATTGATATTTTATTTTTCAATTGCAAGATGACATGATATGGGTGTTTGCAATTGCAAAACAACAGCATTGATGTGGCTACCAATTGCATATTTGCAAGCTTGCAACAGATGCAATTGCATATGCAAGTCAAAAACACCAAAAAAAAAAGATTTTTATTTTATTTTCTATTATATTATTTTCTTTTTTACTCTATTTTCTATAATTTAAACATAGTATGTAATTCCATATGCAATTTCAAGTGGATTGCATCGATGTAGGTGAAATGACATTCCTATGAGTTGGATTGCAAAAATATTGAGGTGAAAAAAGTAGATTTTAACCTTTAAAAAGTAGATTTTACCTAAAATTGTAACGAAAAATTGTGATTCTACCTAAAAACGTTTAGACACAATGTAGATTTTGACCAATATTACAACCGAGGAGTGCGATTATTAGGTTTTAAATCACGATTTCGATTTCATGCAGGTTCCTACACCAAAAAGAACGCATCTTTAACGGGTTTCTAATGTCGGCCGAGCCCGCGGAAGGGTCGTGCAACGTCGTTGTAGTGACCACCACGTACGGCAGCGGCGAGAGCGGCTTAGTGTTATGGAAGCTCACCGCCGGCGGCGGCCGCAGGGATGAGGATGATGATGATCATCATCAAGAATGCACGCTGGTCGCTTTCAACTCCTTTGTGGGCGATGATCAAAGGTTCACTCACAGCCGCTACAAAGCCGTGCTTTGGAGGGACAAGGTCTACGTCTTTTGCACCGCGGATGGAAGGGTTTTGGCCTGCGATCTTAACCACCACCACCACCGCGGGCCGAGCCTTTCATGGGCGTTTCTCCCCGAGGAGTTTGCTCTCTCCTCTTGTAAGGACTACTACTACGACCACCACTTGACGGTGAGCCCGGAGGGAGAGCTGATGTTGTTGTCAGGCCGGCGGGAGATGGTCCCCAAGGGCACGGTGCCGGCCGGTCTCCGTGTTGGCAAGGAGAGAAGAAGAGCACTTGATAATAGTGGGAAATTGGATGCGGAGTTTCGGAAGGTTGGATTCCGTGTTTACAAGATCGACGGAGACGCGAAGAGATGGGTTGAGGTCGAAAGCATAGGCGATTACGCTCTGTTCGCGGATGCGCATAACGTCGTTTGCGTGCCTGTTCGTTCGGAGTGCAGGAGGAACTGTGTTTATTACGGGCTCGATGTGTACGAGCTCGACTCCGATGATCGGCTTCTGGTTCGCGTGTCGGATTTGGGTGATGTGCCGGACTGTCTTATATGGATTTCGCCATCTACTTATTAGATTTATGAAGTTGTCCAACCTTGTGACTGATAATGGAGTACATATCGGATTGTTGCTAATGTGGAGCTTAATAGAGAACTCTGAACCATCATGGAGTGCGCTAACTTAGACTACCATCATCCAAAAAAAAAAAAACAGAACGAGAAGGTGGGGAAAAGAAAAGAATAAGCAGAGCAGCAAAAATCTTCCACAGTAGTGAAAAATCAAGAGATAAGAAGAAGAAGAAGAAAAAAAAAAGAACAATGCAGTCTACTATACTATATCATGATACAAATCGATCAGTAACAAGTAACAACAGCCCACTTACAGATGTAGATGGGGAAGGCAGGGAGGCAGGCATTCTGCAAATATCTATAGCCCTCTTCACCAATTCAGTCATCTCTTGCATCAAAAGGCTTTGCATTTTGGCAAAACCTGTACTTCTTCTCCAGGAGTCATTCCTTCTCCATCTTTTTTCATGTTCCTTTTTTATAATTAATAATTTAGCTAGCGACGATTGGCTCGATAACGCATGGTTAATGAGTGATTACCACACGTCACGCAGGTAGCGACCATTCATTTGCAGGTTCTTCACCAAGCTCTCTGCCTTGGATGAGTCGAGCGATCCCTGGTTCACAAAAGAAGCAGGGTTTGTGATTCAGCGATAAGACACATATGCGCACAGGCACAACTCAGGGAATCGGGTAACCAAGAATTCCATGTATTTTTAGGATATGATGATTTTGATTGTCAGAAACCATGTATAACCCAGAAATCACAGAATCATTCATACCTGCTCAATTGCAATGGTGTGGAGAGTTCGGTGAACGTCTCTAGCCATGCCTTTAGCATCACCACATACGTAAACATAGGCGCCCTGAGAGATCAGGTTCCAGATCTCCGAAGCCTGGACCAGAAAGATGATGAGGTGAGACAATGCTTTTATGCAACCGGTACCAACAAGAACAGAAAGATGGTGATCATTGCACAGAAGCCACAAAAGAGAGGATTTACCTTCTGCATCATTTTGTGCTGCACATACTCTTTGGTAGCTCCTTCCCTCGAGAAGGCAACATTCAGCTCAGAGAGTGCACCGGCTTCGACGAAGTTGTTGAGTTCATCCTCGTAGATGAAATCCTGAATTTAAAACCGTGAGATCGTGAGACCATGAAAAATCATAACAAAACCCATGCACCAGAATCCATGGAAACAGCAGCTTACCGTCTTACGGTTTCTGCAACCAAAGAAGAAGATTGAGGGCCCAAGTTCTGCTCCGGATTCTTTGAGTGCTAGTCTTTCCTGCAGGAAGCCCCGGAAAGGAGCCAGTCCAGTCCCAGGACCAATCATTATGATGGGAACTTTAGTATCTGCAGGAAGTCTGAAATTCGATTGCCGAATGAAAATGGGGGCCCAACTGCAGTCTTGACTCTTCTCCATAGGAGCAGCATTCTGTAGGATCAAAGGTGAACCATTACCATTTGCCTCTCTATCCACTGGCATCCAGTCAGAAAATTAGAACAGCAAGCTGCGCAAACACACGATAGAAAATAGTACATACCCTCATCCAAGTTGAGCACACTCCCTTGTGCACCCGTCCCCCTGGAGTTTTCTCAAGCACCAGAGCACAAGTCACGTGGATTCTAGATGGTGCCATCCTGTTAGAAATCAATTGTTGATGATCAGTAGATGAAAAGTTTAAATAGTCTAGAAAAGAAAAATAGATAATTGAGGGGGAAAAGAAAAGGGTAAAACTATGCTCACCTTGGAGATGAAGAGATAGAATAAAATCGAGGCTGCAAGCGAGGAGCAACTCCAGCAAAGAAAACACCAAGGGGAGGCTTTGCAGAGGGAAATGCAGCCATGACCTCAAGGATACTTCTCTGTTCGGCAACTACCCATTTTGCATATTCATCCTGTAGAATGTTAAAAGAAAAGAGAATGACTGTTAACTTACCTATTAAACCACCAATACAAGTGATAAAATCAACTAAAGTCTTGTGTAAGAAATCAGCACCTTGCCAGCAGGTGAAGCGAGATATCTCAATCTATCGGCTTCAGTAGGATCAGTAGCATGAGCTGCTAAAGCAAGCAAAGCAGACTGGAAATGGAAGATGAACAATTTCTTAGAGAAGAGCTCCAATCAGCTTGGAAAAATAGCAGAAACATGAAAGAATAGTAGAAGTATTCTAACCTTTTTGGGAGCATTCAAAAGATCGGCATATCGAGTCAGAGCTGTTCTCAAGGTGCATGGTGGAAATGGTGTTGGCAATGAGCTTCCACTGAGTGGTGTCCCGTCCTCTTTATTGGAGTGGACGGAGAAGTATGTGTCGGGCGACAAACCTAACAACTGCAGTGCCTCTTCTACAACCTCCTCGACATTCTCAGAGTACACACCAACATGATCCCCAGTTTCATATCTGAGAAACAAACTCAGTGATGAGCGTTTGTGTGATGTTTAAAACAGAACACATATATTACATCTTTAAAAACACCATCGACTTACGAGAGTCCAGTGCCAGCAATGTCGAATTCCAAATGTGTGCAAGATCGGTCAGAAAGAGGAGTGTGAAGCTCTTTCCTCACAGCAACATTAGACCTGTGATTCAGTAGATGTTTATGTTAGACTGAGAAACTACACACAGCAAAAACGTAAAAGCAAAGGCAGCGAAACATCAATGTATGAACCTGCATGGATGTTGAGCATCATAGACAGTGTGGCCATTGGCACCACTCCAGCTTTTGTCTTCTACTGGTGCATCAGTGGAGTCATAGAACACAACCCGGTATTCCAACACCGCAGCAGTATACGGGGTGGTTGCAGATGATTGATCATCCTCATCAAGAAGCAAACCATCGAGCTCTGGCCATACCAACTCTTTCCTGCCATCAAGAGAAGAAGGCATATCAGAATTTTACCATCTGGAAATAGTTCTTGGCGCAATAATGAAGACTACTAAGTAAGCTCACTCACCAAGCAGAAAAGTCGTCTTCCATGCATTGATCATCATCTCCTAGACCCACAGGAGCAATGCGCTTGCCACCTGGACAATGCAAAGAGTTACCACCATCAGTCGCATGATATCAATCTTCCATAACCTAACTTTAGTTCTCATTACAAGCTTCATTAAACGGTTCAGTCCACGAGAAGCACCCAATTAGCTAAACAGCACTATATATATCATATTGTGTACCAGATTCCATTAACTACTAAATGTTCTAGTTCCCCCATCATTTAACTATAAAAAGGAACTCCATTTCTATACCAAACTTCAAGGGAATAAAGAACTGTACCTTGTTCAGCCAGAAGATCATCCACCTCCTTAGCAATCTATAGTATCAACCAACAAATACATAAATTTAGTCAGAGTTCATCCCCGTAATAAACAGGCATCAAAACAAATTCTGAAAGGCACCCATCTCAAAACACTCTTCAATACCTTATTAAAGTGTTCATATTGCTTATTGCCAAGACCGAACACTCCATAATTCATCTTGAGCCATTCTCCTCTGGCTTCTTTACCCTGTTGCATGCAGTCAGTCAATTTACATTCCACCCATAGACTGAATTCAATGGCCGATTTCACTCGATCCAGCTGAAATTTTACCTCAGTAAACCACTTGTAGAACCTTGCTGCATTATCAGTCGGCTCACCATCTCCATACCTGCCCACCCAACCACCAAGCAACCCATGTTACAAAACCAGAAATTTAAATAGAAGATGGAAGCTTTAGAAAGTGGCAGAGTCAGACTATTCACTCACGTAGCGAGGAAGAAGAAAGCGATGGACTCCTTCTTGAACTTCTCCTCGTACTCATCGTCATCCCCGGCATAATCATCCTGTAACAAAACCAGAGGCCACAAAATTCAACACCACCACACAACTCGGCAATTCAGAACAAAACAGTCAGAATGAAATCGGTAAAAATTCTCTGGTTGGTTCAACCCACCATGTCAACAACTTTGAATACAGCCTTCTCATACCGCGCCTTCGCCTCCTCGGCCAGAGCCTGCAACAAAAAAAAAATACCCAATTCAATTCAAATCAATACAAACCCAATCGATAAAAACCAGAGAGCTCCCATTGCGAGCTGAGATGTGTGTGTGTGTGTGTGAGAGAAAGGGGGGAAAACCGAAACGAAACCAACCTTGGCGAATCCTTCAGCAGTACCAGTCTGAGTACCGTAGAACACAGTGATCTTCTTCTTCCCATCATCAACCACCACATCCTCCTCCTTCTTCTTGACAACCAACGGCGTCGGCGGCTGGTAGCTCCGCTTCGGGGAGCTGGATCTTCTCCACACCAGCACCACCACGCACCCGATCAGCACGGCCACCGTAGTCGTCAGGATCATGACAAACTCCCTGTTGTCGAGGATCAGCGAGGTCACCTCCGCCGCCGCACCTCCCGACTCCGACGAAGCGTTGGACGGGTCGGCGAACTTCTTCCGGATAATTGCCGCCATCAGATCGATCGCCGATTGAGATCCCGACGACGAGGACGAGTCCATTCTAATTACCGATAATTCCTGAATTCGCTGAAGCTTGGTGGGTGGGAGTTGGTGTCCGGCGATTCAGGGGAGGAGAGAAATCTTTTGATTAGTTCAAGTCGGTTTTGTTTGGTACCAAAAAAATTTCTTTCCTGCCGAGATTGGGAGTGAAAGGTTGGGCTCTTAATAAGGCGGAGGAAGGAAGGTGGAAGAAAAGAAAAAGGGAAATAAATAAATAAAATAAAATTCTCAACGCTCACCAAACTCGACCTGGTGTCTTGGTCAGGCTCGCTCGCTCTCACCTAACAACGAGGCGGTAACCATGGTTAGATTCTCTGGTTGGGCCTGGATGGCTGGCTGGCTGGGTTATGAATTTTTAATTTTTTTTTTAGTTAGTGGAGTTTCCCGCAAAAACTAATTGAAAATGCGAAAAAGACTTTTGGCTGGTTTCCCCGATATGCCCTTGGTTGTCTGTTTGTTTGCCGGGAATAATCGCACGGAAATGCCTTTTGTATGTATTGCTGTCCTAGAAAGGGTGACGAAAGAAATTTGGTGACTGACTATCAACAATTTCTTGTGTTATAGAGCTTAATCAGCTTATTTGTAGTAGATAGTTTATGAGTGATTAACCGCAACGAATTCAGAGTTTTTTTTTTATCTAATTTTATCAATTTGTCGGGATATCTTATGATTTGTTGCAAATTAGGTAAGAGATAAGTTTATTTTGAACACTTGACTCGTTTTGTTATATGACACATATATGATTCTTTGAAATGTATGCATGCATATAGTGATACATCTTTCTGAGTTTCCCTAACAAGCAATCTTGATAACATATTAGCACATAGGAATACACCATCAACTTGAATATATATTTGAGGTAATATCTACCATTTCACAAGACTGGTACAATACATCGAAGATATATGCACAAGTACTATATACGCGACTTTTGTTCATCTTTTACGAACGAGACTACTGACTTGTCTATCACATTTGACAAATAGTTTACAAAAAGTTTAACTCTAGTGATAAAATAGTAAAATACTAATCACTAACTTTAATCTTTGAGATCAAGCTTAAATCACATTGAGAGCTACTTGAAAAGGATGGCTAGCTAGGTATGTTGGGTTCGACCAAACTCCGACTAGGTCGGGCTTAAGTTGAGTAGGTATACTAACCCATTTGGGGGACGCCACGTTCCAACAATTCCCTCCAATGGACTCTTTGAGAACCGGCATTTTGATGTCGCTTAATGTCTTCTAGTTAGAGACGTTGATGGAAAATAGATAACTACTATATGACAATTAGTTAAGGTCGTGACATATATAAAGGACTAAGGTAAATCCCAAATTATTAAATAGCACACAAACACTCAAAATTGTAATATTGTACAATTCACTTTTCTTTATGATATTGAATTAGGTTTTCTTTATGATATTGAATTAGGGTTATAGGTATAATATGCCCCTCTATTATGACGTTTTATCAAATATGTCCCTCTACTATTTTTTACATCGAACATGCTCTTGTACTTTGGCAAACTTATCAAACATGCCCTTTTGTTAAAATTTCCATCAAAAAATCGTTAACCAAGACCGAACTTTGGTTTGGGCGACCCAAATATCTAAAATATCCCTAATAATTTCACTTTAGAGTTCTTTTTGTTCTTTTGTATAGCCAAATAATTCTAATAATTTCACTTTGACGAGACCTAGAGAAATAAAACAAGGGTCAAAACTAACATTTCCCCTCCCATTTATCGATGTCAGGTCGTTTAAATCTCGGTTCAACCATGATTGACGATATTTTCAATGGAAATTTCAACTTAAGGGCATGTTTGATAATTTTTTCAAATTACAGGGGCGTGTTTGATGTAAAAAATAATAGAGGGGCATGTTTGATAAAAAGTCATAGTAGATAGGCATATTATACCTGTTTGAACCTAACTGAGTGTAGGAGTGAGGTTCGGGAAAGGAAGTGGGTCAAGGAGAGTAAGCAATGGAAAATCAACTATATGACATAGAACAAAGGTCTGGAAGGTTGAGAGAATTGGTGTTTTAGAGAGAGAATGTGATGTTTGTAGAGATAGAATGCCCAAAATGCGATCCCCTCACCCACCGGAGTAAATGCCATATTTATAGGCTACATGGTGGTGGGTGAGTGGGTGGATTACATGATGGTACTTTGACCTTGACATGACCACTGACATGTCAGGGATTTAGGCCATCCCTCTACCTAGGACATGTCAGAGGTGTACCTACGACTAGGGCTGCAAACGAGCCGAGTCGAGTCGAGTTTTTGCTTAGCTTGAGCTCGGCTCGTTTATTAATTTTTCAGCTCGAGCTCGGCTCGAACTCGAATTTTGATAATCCAGCTCGAGCTCGAGCTCGGCTTGAATAAGAATAATCTAGCTCGAGCTCGACTCGGTAGAGCTCGATAAATGCTCATTAACATAGCTTGTCAAGCTGAGTACAAGCTCGGCTCAAGATGAGCTCGATTTAAAATCATTTTTGCTGGAAAAATGTATAAACATAAAGAATTTAAATGATAGAAGGAACACTAGAAACTATAAATAACATCTAAATTTCATACACATCTGTATTAGAAGACAATGTTCATGTTTAAAAGAGTAATTCATCCTTCCACAAGCTCAAAACAAGGCAGCTCGCGAGCTTAGCTCGACAAGCCACCGAATCAAGCTAGCTCGCGAGCTTATCAAGCTGAGCATGGTCTAGCTCAGGCTTGGCTCGTTAACTAACGAGTTGGCTCGCGAGCCGGCTTGTTAAATAACGAGTCGAGTGTCGAACGAGTTTTTTCCGATTCGAACGCCGAGTTGCTCGCGAGCGGCTTGGCTCATTTGCAGCCCTACCTACGACTATCTCTCGGATCCCAACGTGGCTGGCCCTCGGGGAGTGTGAGGGGGACTCCTTGCGGCTCTGTGGCTTAGTACTCGCTTGGCTCTCTCAGCACGCGCGTGGCTTGCGACGCGCCCAGAATCTCCGCGCCTTGATGCTTCTCACCCGCGCGCAGCTTGTGAGGGGTTCAGGGTCTTCGCGCGTTGATTCTTTCCACCCGCGCACATGCTGTGGCGCGCCTTAGGCTCTCGCGTCTGGGCTTACGTCGGCGCGTCTTACCTTGCACGGCTAGGTCCGAGTCACACGCCCAACAATTGCCCCCCATCAGAGGGTGTTCTGTGAATACCCTCTGTTTAGATCTTCGTTTGATTGACTCAGGCCTGGGCGCGAATGGTCGATGGCGCGACATCTGATTGGGCGTGATTTCCGGGATTGCGATTGCTCTTCGCGTGCGCCTTGCCGTTCCGTAGCCGCGCGAGAGGTCCTGTTGTAGTTGCTTGATTGAGCGCGATCCTTGGTTGATCACGACCTTTGGAGTCGGGATTCTGAATCTCTTGGTGCGCGTGTGCGCGATCTTTGTGAGATTTTTCTTGACGGGCTGCGCGTGCTTGGATTTGTGAGATTTTTCTCTTTCCTCGCGGGTGTGCCATGCCCCCCAGGCGTTGTGCGGAACTTGTTACGTCAGCGACTAGTACCTACTTCTAATAGGTGTCCACGTGTCCTATCCTGGTTTGTCCGTTTGGGCGGGCAGATTTCGAAATTCGAAACGTCTGACGGTTGCGATTTTTGAGGTTACTTTAACCCTTCGACTTACCTCTAACAACTATAAGTATCGACCCGTTGTGGGGGGTGGGATTCATCCTGACTCATTCTGCACATCTGAGCTCTGCCTCTTTCCTCTCTTGCTCTGGTCTATCGCCGAGATTTCTCTCCTTCTTTTACAATCTTAAATCTTCAGTCGCCGTTCTTCTCTACTTCATATTGCTATCATGGAAAACACCAACACCAACGTCGGCGAGATTGAGATCGTACAAGACGAAGAAGGTAATCTTCCCCCCCTTTCACATGTTTCTTCTGATCCGTCGCTGGAATTGGCGAATTCCGGCGGCGAGTATGGCGGTGGGTCTGGTGGCGGCGGAGCTCCGACAACGCCGTCGGCCAGAGTCGACTCGGATCCTGATTTCGTCCTCGGGGAGGCAGATGAAGATGTTGTTGCGTCTGGGAGCGAGAGGCCGACCACGCAGCCCCGGGGCGTTTTGATCATCCGACGCGACCGCGATGGGAGGTCTGGGGTCGCGGAGGGTGCTGGTACTGCGGATGCGACCGAGCGCGAGGATTCTGACACGCAGTCGGCGCCGATTATTGCGGAGCCCGTTGACGTGGTGCGCATAAGCGAGGCGATGAGTCGCCTTGGCCCTCGCTGTGTGAGCGCGGTCTACACCGTCCTCGATTGGGCGGAGATGTGGGGCGACCAGCCGGCTCCGCACGACAACTTGTTGCGGGGACCCGACCACGCTTCCATATACTCGCGCGAAGACGTCGAGAATATCGTGCGCGGATTAGGTTTGCCTCCGCATTGGGAGTACGCGGTGCCCTCTGTTAGCAGTATGGTGGGCAATTGCCCCCCAGGGTGGTTTGGGGTGTACAGCGAGTACTGGGTGATGGGCTTCCAGTTTCCCATCGACCCATTGTTGTGCGCCTTATACAGGCGGCTCAACTGCTCGGTTGGGCGCCTCTCCCCATCCATCATTATGCATGTCTCCTGCCTGCGCCTCGCCTGTAAGCGGCTTAACATCCAGCCCACGTACGGGCTGTTCCGCAAAATTTATAAGATCAAGGAGCCCAGCATCAAGAGCGACTGTTTATCCATAAAGCGGCGCGATAATAGGCCTGATGGGTTCGTGTACGGCTCTCCCAAACTGAAGAAGACGTGGTTTGAACGCTTCTTCTACGTCAAGCCGACGCCGGGGGAGTGGGTGAGTGAGCACGTGGATGAGCCCACTGAGTGGAAAAAGGGTAGCATCCTTGGTTATGAGTCCCACGTCGGCGCGTATAATGGGCTTGACTAAGAATATGCAGCGTGCCTGGATCAGAAGATGAATCTTTACACGCGCGGAGTGCGCGAGGCCGTCTTGCAAGAGCTTTTTGCCGATGGTTAGTTATTTTTCTTTCCCTTTGTATTCTGTCATATTTAACCGGTTTCTTACGATATTTTGGTGCAGGTGTCGATTTCTCCGACCTCGTGAGCATGATGTCAGTGGACAACGTCGTGAAGGCCCCCCACCCCTCGCGTAAGGAGAAGAATAAGAAGAAAGTGGGAGCGCAGAGCAGCA